ACTAGTATTCAGATACTCGTGAGAATGCTAACACTCATTCGAGCTAGACGTATATCCTATCTTTCTTTTTCTCGTAATAAGTAGAAGATTTCAAACTAACATCACACTAACACTCATTCGTAAGACTAACTAAATGGATCATGTTGAGTACAACATATGTGAGGGGTGTTAATACCCACCCCTTGCATAATTGACTCCTAAATCTGATCTGGTTGCAACGACCATTTTTCTTGTCTTTCATGGATTTTATCGATATTTTCCATTCCCTTTTAGAATAAATAAAGTTTGGTGGTGTCTATGTTGTATTTCAAGCGTGTGATACGCTCAGGTATTTTTTACACTCGACAAACGTCATGTCATTGTTGCGGTTTCCTAGGCTAACAAAACTCTACCTCCTCCTTAAGTGGAGAATGATCCAATCTTTGTTACCTTTCTGCCCTCTCTTTCACAAGAAGATTTTTCTCCTCCAAGATTTGATTAAGGAACGCTCCAAGCCTTTTCGTTCTTCTAACATGTGCAATAATTTTACCAAGGTAAATATTCACAACAACCTCATTCACAACCTTTGATACTTGGACACGACATGCCACCAGACATTCAACAGTTGCAAGGCAACCTAGGCATCTAAGGAGCATCCTACCTACTAAATAGTATATACAACCTGGTACAACAACAAATTCCAGAGCCCTAACTGATATGATACTCCGAATTAAAGAGAACTTGCAATGTGATCCTCTGAGGACCTATGATACACACGATATTTCAGTGCATCACCAATGGTCAAGATTTTAGCGTACACAGTTAAAGGACAATCAAAATCCCTAATACTAGAAAGAATCATTATTGTAAGACATAGAGACACATGTTATGTCATATATGTAAAACATTGCTAATCACGAGGAAGAAATTTAATGCATATCTTATCAAAGTTATCCAATGACCACCAATGATAAAACTAAAAATGAGATTAACATAATGTTTTTCTAAGTTCTCAGTACAATATCAGTACCCTATTTATATACAGAATGACCAATAACTGTCAAGACTATAAAACCGCATGACCAATAGAAACTAAGACTAAGTCATAACAAAGGGTAACGACTGTAAAACTATAACTCAGTATGTAATACACCCCCACAAGTTGGACTATGGAGATTGAGTAGTCCAAGCTTGAAAATGTGTGAGTCGAAAGTGGGGTTGTGCAAAGGCTTGGTCAAAATATATGCAAGTTGAGATTTTGTGTTGATAGGAAAAAGCTTGATGAGGCGTGAATTAATCTTCTCATGAATCACATGGCAATCGATTTTAATGTGCTTTGTGCGCTCATGAAATGAAGGGTTGTGAGCAAGATATATGGTAGAGTTGTTATCACAATAAACAAAGGTGGGATGGAGAAAAGGCAGTTGCAAATCCTTGAAAAGAAAATGGAGCCATTTAATTTCACAGGCCAAACTTGCCAACTCACTGTATTCAACTTCAGAACTGCTCTGAGACATGGTGTTATGCTTTTTGGGTTTCCACAAAATGAGAAATAGCCTAGAAAAATAGCATATCTAGTGATGGAACATCGAGAAACAGAATATGTAGCCCATTCAGAATTTGCAAAAGCAGATAAGTTATAATCAACAGTAGACGAATAAAATAAACCAGTACCAGGAGCAGTTTTTAAATATTGTAATACACGAATAACAACGTTAAAATGAACAATTCTTGGTTTAGAAATGTATTGACCGAGCTGCTGTACCATAAATGATATGTCGGGTCTCGTGGTATTTAAATATAAAAGACGCCCTATGAATCTCCTATATTGTGAATCATCTTCCAAGAAGGGAGAATCCTCACAATCCAATTTTAGAGAAGTATCATAAGGAGTTTTAGAAGGTTTGGATGCAAGTTGTCCAGTGTCTTCCAAAAGGTCAAGTGTATATTTTCGTTGGTTAATAGAGATGCCTTTGGAAGATCGGGAAACTTCAAGACCAAGGAAAAATCTAAGGTTCCCCAGATCTTTAACTTTAAAGGATTTATAAAGAAAAGATTTGACATATTGTATTTCAGAAAAGTTTTTTCCAGCAAGAACAATATCATCAACATATATGAGTAAAGCAGTAAAAGAGGAATTGTGAGTTTTAGTGAAAATGAGTAATCAGCCACATAATGTATATAACCAATGGAAATTATAGAATCAGAGAGTTTTGCATACCATTTTCTGCTAGCTTGTTTAAGTCCATAAAGGGACTTGTGAAGCTTGCAGACCTTGGTGTGATTAGTAGAAGAAGCAGGTAAAACTAAACCTTTGGGAAGATTCATATAAAATTCTTCATGCAAATATCCATGCAAAAAAGCGTTATTAATATCTAATTGTTCTAAAAACCAACCTTTTATGGAATTTAAAGAAAGGAAAGATCTTACCGTGGTGATTTTGACAACCAGAGAAAAGGTGTCAAAATAGTCTACCTTCAACTTGAGTGTGACCTTGAGCAACCAACTGAGCTTTATAGCGCTCAATAGAACCATCCACATGATACTTGATCTTGTATACCCATTTACATCCAATGGGATATTTATTGGGTGGTAAGTCCATAATAGTCCAGTTGTTGCTGGAAGCTAAGGCCTCAAGTTTAGTTTTTATGGCCTTGTTCCAACATTCAAATTTTGAGGCAGGGATGAATGTTTTAGGTTCACTGTTAAAGGAGATAGAAAGGAAAAATCGCTTGTACTGAGGAGAACATTTTTGGTATGTGATAGTAGAAGAAATGGGAAAAGGATTAGCGTGGAAAGACGGTTGGTGGTAGGTTAATTTTTGAGGAGATTGCAATGATAATCCTTTAGATAGCTAGATGGGCGGGTTAATCTGATGGGTTGTCTAATAGGAGGAGGAGAGATGTTAGGTGTGTGGGTGGCAGTAGGAGGTGAGGGAATTATGGGTGAAAGAGGCATATGGGGATCCTGTTCAGGGAGGTTGGGCATAATGTTTGGTTCAGGTATATTGGGAAGCGGTTCAAGACCGGGATCATTAAAGAAAAGAGTATGAATATATGTAGGATTGTGCAGAGGTGTAGAATTATGAAGGGGAAAACATACTCATAAAACAGAGCATTTCTAGAAATAATAAATTCAGGATATAATAAATCATAATGAACATATCCTTTTATACCATGTTTATAACCTAAGAAAATTGGTTTTCGCGCATGGGAATCAAACTTAGTTCTGTTAACATGAAGAGTAGATGCATATGCTAAATGAAAGCTATAAGTATTTAAGCTTTAAAGATTTGGATAATTTTGGTAAAACAAGATGCTGAACAAGATGTTAAAATATGTGAAGAACAACATGTCGAACAAGATGTCCTACCATGAAGGCTCGACATCTTGGATAGCTACAGCTGGATTTTGGTAAATCTGTTCCAAGATTTAAGAAGCACTTTAGCAGTGGATCAAGGAATATTTTTAACAGAAGATTCGAAGCCCATGGACAAATGAAGACTATAAAAATAAGCCTTAAACCTAGGGCAATTCAACTAATCCTTGTGTAACACGTTGAAAAAAAATAAGGGTTTAATGTTTTGAGAGTCATGTACTTTCTTATGTTGTACGTCACCCTTTGTATCGATTTGATGTATCGTGGTAGACATATTTATGTATGCAGATTCAGAAGCATTTAGGTAATGAACTATGTATTGTTCTTGGATGAAAGTTTGAAGCAAATATAAGTATGCTTGTTAGTCAAGAGTCTTGGCTGAACTTTAGTTGAAAGGGGGTATCTTTTAAGTAGTTTCATGTAATCACCAGAGATTGTGATTGTTAGATATCACTGAGGTGATTTAGGGAGTGAGATGGGTTTCTCTTATCTTAGGTGGGGTTCTGAGATAAATATTTCATTAGGTAGTGGTTAGGTAAAACAAAGGTTGCTTACCTGTAAACCTGAGGTTGTTTACATAAAATAATACTACTGATAGTGGAATCTTCTTCCTGGCTGGGTAGCCCCTAGAGTAGGTGTTGTTGTACACTGAACCGAGTCATCATATCTTTGTGTTATTATCATTCTGCATTGTTCAATTTTTTCTTGTTTATTAACATGTCATATAACATGTTAGAACATCTATCATGATGTTGTTCTGATAAGTGTTATATTAGTGTGCTTTGTCAAAGTCCAGGTGTTGTACACAAAGATCTTTGTATCAACATGTGTTAGGACATTTTTATCTGTATAAAATTTCACTAAACATCCAAAAGTTTTTAGATGTAATAAACTAGGGGGTTTTTCATATAAAATATGAAAGGGAGAAACATTTTTCAACAAGGGAGAATGGAGATGGTTTATTAAATGCACAGAGTGTTGTATAGAGAAATGCCAAAAAAATTTAGGAAGGTTTGCTTGAATGGAAAGAGCCCGAGCTACATTTAAAATGTGTTGGTGCTTCCTTTCAACCAAACCATTCCGTTAAGGGCATTCAACACAGGAACATTGATACATAATGCCTTTTGAAAGGAAAAAAAATTATGCATTAAGAATTTAGAACCGTTATCACTTCTTAGGAATTTTAATGAAGTTGAAAATTTATTTTCAATAAAGGAGATAAAGGTGCATAGGTGTTTTCTGGTTTCACTTTTCAATTTCATTAAAATGATCCAAGTGAAATGGCTGAAATCATCAACAAGGGTAAATTTTTTTTATGGCCATCAACAGAAGGAATATAATACGAGCCCCAAATATCAACATGAATAATATCAAAGATATGAGCAAAAGTACTAGAACTAACAAGATAAGGCAATCATTTTTGTTTATAAAAGTGACAAATATCACAAGGGTCATGTTTATTGCATTGAATATAAGGAAATTGCATAGAAATGCAGTTGTATACAACATCAGAAACACGTCCTAGCCTATGGTGCCTTAAATTAGCATTGTTATCTAAAATCGTACTAACATGATAACTAGAAGTAGGTTGAGAATGACATGGCATCATAGATGCATGTATAATTTAAAGATCTCTATATCTCTTAGCTATACCAATCATTTTCCGGCACAAATTCTGCAAAATCAAACATTTATCAATATGGAAACTTAAAAAACAATCAGAGGCAATGGTAAGTTAAGTTACTGAAATAAGGTTAACTTTGAACTAAGGGATGTGATATACATTAGTGAGTTTAGTATTCTCAAAAAGAACAACATTTCCAGAAATAGTGGCACTAGTAGCATGCCCATTAGGCATTTTTGTGATAAAAGGGGAAATAGTATGATAAGAAGAGAAATTAGAAAGATAATAGGTTATGTGGTACGTAACACCTGTGTCAATTATCCAATGTGTAAAATGCTTACCAAGAGGAGAGGAGATAGTGTTAACATTACCTGTTGAAGAGATTAGAGAGTTAAGTTCAAAATCTAGAGGAGTAGTCGTAGTAGGATCATTTGTTGTAAGATGCTGTTGCAGAAGATTGAAAAGCCGAGTATACTGATCTTGTGTGTTGTTAGGAGAAGGAGTTTTGGAAGCAGGATTAGCAGAAGTAGAATTGACAGAAGGATTTTTGCCTCTTTGTTGAAAACCTAGGGGGTAACCATGTTTAACAAAACAGTAGTCGATAATATTGTTGTTTCGACCACAATGAAAACAAATCCTAGTAGAAGGTTGTCCACGACCATGGGAAGAATAATGGCGACCCCTGCCTCTTGAAGAGCTGCGACCATAGTTATGGTGAGGTTGAATTTGAGAGGCTAGAGTTGGAGGATCATATTCAGAGGGTTGGATAAGAGGCATTGTGAGTTGTTTTTCTTGGCCAAGAACAAGAGAAAACACTTTATCAAAAGTAGGGAGAGCTTCAACCATCATTATTTAAGAACGAACATGGGAAAATTATTCATTCAACCCTTTCAAAAACTTAGAACTTTATCTTGATCACGAAACTTGCGAAGATTAGAAACCGCACCGCAAGTGCAAGGAATGGAGCAAGAACAATCACGGGTAGGCCGATAGGTGTCAATATGCTCCCAAATGGAAGTTAATTGAGTAAAGTACGTTGAGATATCAAGGGATCCCTATTGCAGGCGCATAAGATCAGCTTGAATGTCTAAAAGACGAAATATATCTCCTTCAGAAAAATGATTGCGAAGGTTTTCCCAAACGGTGGAAGCATTGTCGAACCAAAGAATCGACTGAGCAATGTTTTCAGAAATAGATCTTTGAATCCATGAGAGAACAAGGTTGTTGCAGCGAATCCATGGATCTAGGAGCGCGTTGCTGGCGTTAGGTCTTGGGAATGTGCCATCGGTAAAGCATATATTATTCTTGGAGATGAGAGCTACCTTCATGGATCAAGCCCAAGAGAGGTAGTTTTTTCCGTCAAGGGGCGGAGAAATAAGGATTGGGGTTGAATTTTCATTTGGATGAATGTAGTAAGGGTTAGAGGGGTTTATAGCGAAATCCAGATATTATTGGTCTGCCATAAGCGATAGAAAGAAGAAGACGAGATGGGAGGATTTTGTAAGGGAGAAAGAAAGGATGATGGAGAAAAAAACAGGTGATGATTTTGCGGAGAAACTTTGGAATATGAGGAAGATGATGAAAATATGCTTTGTGTATGAATCTTGAAAAGAAAGTGATAAAGCAGAGGATGGAAAAGAAACGAGAAGACGAGAGAGAAGAATTATTTGCAAACAAATAAGATAATGAAATTTGGATAGGGCAAACGAGAAACATACACATGGTGGTGAAAAAGAAAGGTAGAAACCAAGTGGCAAAAGAAGAGAGGAACAAGAGATATTGCTATCTCTGATACCATATTAAAGTTATCCAATGACCACCAATGATAAAACTAAACATGAGATTAATATAATATTTTTCTATGTTCTCAGTATAATATATAGCCTATTTATATACAGAATGGTGAATAACGGTCAAGCTTATAAAACCGCATGACCAATAGAAACTAAGACTAAGTCATAATAAATAGTAACGACTATAAAACTATAATTCAGTATGTAATACATCTTCTCAAAGAAATCCTCACATGAAGATTCTTTTGTTCCCTTTCACCAAAGTCTCAAACCCGATAAAATCCTTCCTCTATGACGTACGAAAAAGGACTTAGAGATAACTGTTTTGAACCGTTTGCAAGACCTACATAGAAGACCCAATAACAAACGATGAAGAGAAAGATACACCAAATATGTGTACCATCATCTACGCCAAGACATATGTTGATATCTAATATTTATTAATGTTTAACTAACTGTAATGGAGAATATAAAATGCAACACATATGTTTAATTAAGTTTTCTAGTATTTCAGTTTGTAGTATTAAATGTTTATTAAAATTAGATTCATTAATATAATAATGGAAAAATCACTGCCAAATCGATGTGGAATGTTTAGCTTCTAGTGACTTGTCTTTTTCCAAATGGCTTAATTATGCCGGCCATCAACAGGATTTGAATTGGCAATGATATTGACAACACCATAATTTATTTAATTTGCTTTAATAAATTATTTCCTCACTAAACTTCACCCTTTAAAAACTAACACAAACCTCTTCTTCAAACCTCCCTCTCACATTGACACCCCAACTTCTTTGCATTTCATTTCATATATCTTTTTTCTATGATGAAATTAGGATTTGAAGTCCTTCATGCAAATCCAAACATGATTCATCATCCACACATGCATGAAACATGGGATTACACAATCATTACAAATGACTTATTATTGCCACCTCCAATCCAAACAAATCCTTATCCGAAACCACCAACACAAAGCCACTCCTTAAACTTAGGACAGAATAATGAGATATGTGATTGGGTTGAACACATTACTAAACACTTAGTCGAAGATCACTTACCACAAAACACTTGTGATAATCATACTATTCATAATCTTCAGACTCAAACAAACACCTTAGATTTAGTTCATAATCATAACCATAATCATAATAATAATGATTATGAGTGTGATCAAGGGTTGAATTTGATAACCCTTTTAATGGAATGTGCAGTGGCAATTTCAGTTGAAAATCTTGATGAAGCTCATAGAATGTTACTAGAGTTAACACAATTAGCTTCACCTTATAAAACATCATGTGCTGAACGTGTTGTTGCTTATTTTGCAAAGGCAATGATAAGTAGAGTCATGAATTCATGGCTTGGAGTTTGTTCTCCTTTGATTGATCATAGAACCATTCACTCTTCACTCCAAGTCTTCAACAATATTTCACCTTTCATCAAGTTTTCACATTTTACTTCAAACCAAGCGATTCTCGAAGCAGTGAATCGTTGTAGTAACATTCATATAGTTGATTTGGATATCATGCAAGGTCTTCAATGGCCGGCTTTTTTTCACATACTCGCGACTCGGATGGAGGGTCGACCTAAGGTTCGAATGACGGGGATGGGAGCGTCGATGGAGCTTCTTGTTGAGACGGGGAAAAATCTCTCGAATTTCGCGAGAAGGCTTGGTTTGTGTTTGGAGTTTTACCCTCTAGCATGTAAGTTTGGTGAAGTTGTTGATGTTTCCATCTTGCAAATTAGGCCTAACGAGACACTTGCAGTGCATTGGTTGAAACATTCTTTGTATGATTCAACTGGACCTGATTGGAAAACTTTGAGACTTCTTGAGGAATTGGAACCAAGAATCATAACTTTGGTAGAACAAGATGTTAACATTGGAGGGTCATTCTTGGACCGTTTTGTCGGTTCGTTACATTACTATTCTACACTTTTTGATTCTCTTGGATCATATTTGCATAGTGATGATTCTAACAGGAACATTGTAGAACATGATCTTCTCTCTAAAGAGATTAACAATATATTGGCCATAGGAGGACCTAAGAGGAGTGGTGAAGAAAAGTTTAGGCTTTGGAGAAGTGAACTTGTTGCAAGCAATAGTTTTGAGCAAGTCCCAATGAGTGGTAATTCAATGGCTCAAGCACAGTTGATATTGAACATGTTTTCACCAGCTCATGGTTATAGTGTTGCTCAAGTTGATGGTATGTTAAGGCTTGGTTGGAAGGATACTAGTTTGTACACAGCTTCTTCGTGGACTTGTAGAGATTCTAGGTAGCTTTGTTTAAGGTTTGAGTTTGTTTATTGAAATAGTTGATGTATGCAATTATTAGATATAGCCAATAGGAAGATAATTGAGAAAATTTATTTGATTGTAAAGAATTATTCTATAACTATATATACATGTTAAAAGTTTTTATATCATAATGCATATTTTTTTTCTTTTCAAAATTTAGTTAGGAGATATATATCTGCACTAATCCTAACGATCTTAATATAATAATTCAGTGACCTTTTTGAAAGTGTATTTCCGAAATTATGAATTAAAAATTTGAAAATCTATCACTTTTGCATGTCATTCAATTTCGAAGATGCGTTTTCAGAAACATCAAACGTTATTTTCAATAAAAGAGAATCATGCATGATCAAATCCATTGCCATTTTTTCTCAACTCTTGCAAAAAATCCTTCTATTCTCAATCAATATTTTTACTCTAAAACTCCAGTTTTATATTTCATCACATCAAAAGGAGTAAAAGAAGCTGGAATTCAAGGTAAAAATCATTTATTTCATTTTTATTGTCCAAATTAATATTGTTTTTGTGTTGTAAAAATTACACTGAGTCTGGAGATGTATTTTTGAATTCTAGACGAACTTCTAAGGAAATGCATTTCCGAAATAGCTATGTATTCATTTCATTCAGTTTTTAAATATTTTCTGTTATTGTTTGCAATAAATATGGTGCACCCGGATGCTTTTCCAAAATCTATTGTGCCTATGGATGCTAAACATGTTGATATGAAGGAGGTAGATGCTGACAAATAATTTACAAATGGACAAGAGTTTGAGTTTAGTGATCATATATTTCAATGGATTCACACAGAGGCATAAGAATTGAGGTTTGATGTTGTAATTGGAAGGTCCGGTAATGGTTCAGATAGAAGAGTTGCATTTGTGACAATGAGACGCGAAATAAGTGGGACATATAAAACTCCTCTATGGAAATTCAAACAAGATGGCATCGGTTTGAGAAAATGTGAGCATCCCTTTACGTTGCTTGGTTATCCGTTGTCGAATAACAAATGAAAATTTAATGTCATTTATGGTTTACATAACCATGACATATGTTACAAGTTAGTCGGACATCCAATTGCAGGTCGCCTATGCTAGAAGAGAAAGAAATTCTTACAGACATGACATTGAATATGGTGCAATTAAAAAATATATTTGTAACTTTGAAACGTATAAGACTCGGAAACATCTCAAATATCAAGCAAATGTATAATATCCCTGGTACAAAATAGAAATTCTGAGGTGCATATTGGTCTAGAACTTCTATATGTATGATGCTCTCATATAATTTTTTCACACCATTATATTACATCAGAATGAACATCATTTGCCATATCGCATATGTCTATTTCAACGAGGTGAAGCCCTAGATTTCATTTAAGTTCAATGAGTATACCCCTCTTGCAGATCTGAAATTCATACTAGAGAATATCCCACCATAATACTCTGACAATTGAAAAATTGCCAAGTTCGAGTACCATTCACCCTCGATTGAAAATGAATGTAAGATTGAGTTGGACAACTTAGAGCTTAAAACTGGTGCATATGTAAGGGCTATGTGGAATACATTTTTCTGTTACGAAAAAATTGTACGACCGAGCTAGATGCTATAATAGTGAGATTTGTCTAAGATATTGTTAGGATGTTGGAACGTCCAACTCGATTTTGAAATGCAACTTTTGATATATATTAACAATTACCTATGTAATGTTTCATATTTTATGTTATCAATTTTAATTTTAGCTCAAATCTGCATCTGTCTCCCTAGCTCTGTGTTTATGTAAAATCTGGAAATACACCTCTGTATGGTTTACAGAGATACATCTCCATAATAAATTCAATTGAAATCTAGGGGTATTTTGAGTTTTTTAAGAGGGTATGGTAGCAACTTATAAGGTTCCTTAGGAAATCCCCAAATGATTATGTTCTCTTTTTTGGACTTGACAGACACTCAGATCCTTAAACATTAAACTAGGCTAACCCGAGCCCCGAGTAGACCCAACTTAACTTCAATAAATAATTAGTTAATATTTTATAACATATATAAATATATGTACGCATATCATTATCTCATTCTTCTTTGTGGTCAACCAATGCGTTATAGTATTAGAATTCCTTCTAAATTCAAATTTGAAAGTGTTTGGTTTGAGGATGTTGATTTCAATACACATGTTTGTGAGCAATGGGATTTTTATGGCGACAGACAAGTTATGACTAAATTGGGTAGATGTGTAGAGGACCTTTCAATTTGGAAATGTAATCATTTTCACAAGCTCAAATAGGATATTGACAAATTCAATAAGCTACTTAATCAAAATAGAGGATGTGTTTGTGCCGATAATGTTAATTATTTTAATGCTTTAAGGAAACATATGACTCACTTATTGGTTTTGGTGAAGCCTTTTGGTGTCAACCTGACAAAGTTCATTGGTTCTGAGAGGGAGATCTTAATACTTGATTTTTCATGTTGTGACCACTTCTAAAAGGAAAGTAATCGGGTCAACACACTTGTTGATGATAATGGCGTAAGATGTAACACCCCAAAATAATTAGATTATTTATTTAATTAATTTATTATGAGTATTTATGAATTATTGGTGAATATGTGATGCATTGTTGAATATGATGTGTGTTGTG